ACGTGCAACACACAGATAAATTCATCAGTGTCTCCTCTCTTTGTCTATGGGAGATAAGAGAGGAGAGGCAATCGCATTAAGAGTCACTTTACTGCTCCGACAAGGACCAGAAGTTGGGATTTAAATGTTAGGATCCGTATGCCTAAATCCTGGCATGGCTGTTTGTGCATTCCCCAGCCTGAGCGCATTACCTCTGCAGCCTTAGCTGTTTGCAGATAAACCGGCACAAATTAACACGTCATCGTTATGGGAATAGCACGCAGCCATATGCACAAGGAGCCCCCCTCGCAATAAGTCCTGGAGAGTGACACAGCAGCTGGTGTCAGCACAGCAGTGGATCAGTCAATACTACAATACTACATGCTGTTTGGATCCATGGCTGCAGCCTCTTGACATCAGAGGTGGCACACTGAAGAATCGGTGCTTCCTTTTACTGTGTCTGCACCTGTCATAATATGGTTCCTTCCTTTTTTTTCAGAGGGGGGTTGTTTTATTTTCTCTTTATTCACTCTGGCTCTAATGCACTGTGGCACCACAGAGACCCCTGGTGGACCAGAGTGGCAGAACACGGTGTGTTTTCATGCAACTGTACAGTATGTGGGTGGTCCATGAATGGCCCTTAGCCTCTCAGAAGAAGCTCTTCTCAGTTATTCTAGCTTTCTAACATTACCCCCAACATACAGCTTACAGAGTTTGAATGCTTTTTTGCAAAATAGTTAAAAAATGTGCAGCTTTGCATATATTTTTGCAAACTAGTCATATTAATTTTTTTTAAGTTAGTGGTTTGCATTTGTTTTCTCCTTATTTCTCATTTCAATTCTAAATTAAATCTTGATTACTTCATCAATATCACAAAAAAATCTATTTTGATTTCATATTCAGTTTCTTTTCATGTATTTTACGATAAAAGCATCTTTTACCACCCAAATATTGTCTCTTGGATAAATACTAAACATTAATACTGTGAAGTTGTTCAAAGATAGGATTTCCTGTCTTGTTGGGGACGAGGCGAGTATGTGAAGGCAAGTCTTCTGATCTGATAAGAGAAAAATAATCCATTAGGCTGTTGAACTGTTCAGTTTTTAAGAAGACTCTGCTTCAAACATGTGCACAACTGAACTTTTAACTGGAATTTTGCACTTTCAACTTTTAAAATTCATTTTAACTGACCTTTTTCTGCCATTTTGCACCATTATTTTTGTACTGTAAACATGGTTGAACATTCTTTTACACATTTTTAAAAACTGTTTCTGATGCAGTCCTATCGGTGCTGCAATTAGTTATTTATTGTATAATTAATTAATGTTGGACTTGTATCGTACTTGATTGCAATTTCATTATATACATGCATACAGGATGACAATAAAGTTAGTCTAGTTGGTATGCAAAACATATCTAGCTGACAAACAATGCTTCCTATTATGTGCAAGGAATAGTCAAACTTAAGGCTAAATCCAATGGAGAAGTTTTTTGAAGACTTTAAAACACCTAAAAACCAATTTATCTAAAATAAATATCTGTCATGTCATAGTTATCCAGTATTTGTGTTTGGCCTTTTATATAAAATCAAAATAATGCGCAAGAGGGGATGTTTTTTTCTGGGACAAAACATGAAACATTTCAGTCAGTAGGAATATTAAAACGATGCTCTGCCCAAACCAGAATTTTCCTGTTAACACACTAGCTATCACCTGGCCATGCAAGACTGGAGTAAAGGGCCAAATTAGAGCTGGCCCTGTAAGGTAAAATTCGTATTATCTTTGAACTAGCAAGTACCCAATTATACGCCACAGTTATCACACATCTCACAGACTTCTGAGTCATTGCCATAGGGCCAGTGAACAACCAGAGATACAAAGAGCTGCTGAATCACCTTTCCGCCTTCTTGGACACTGCTTGTTCTCCCCGTTTGTTTCTTCTCCAGACCTGAGTCACTTCTTTATTTTGTTAATACATAGGAATATTTCTCCTAATCGTTTCTGTGTCACAGCATATGTGTCATACGTGTGAAAAATGGAGTTTGAGGTCTTTAATCCAAAGCCGAGAAAAAAGAAATTTAATAGGGCTTTATCTGTCTGCCGTCACATAGGATGTCGTGTTGAAAATGAGCTGAGCAGAGAGAGGACCTCCCGCTGATGTGAGCGAAGGAGCTTATGTGTTCATTTGTGTTTTCTCTGGACTTTCTCATCCCTCACTTCCTCTTTTCGCTGGTCACCCCAGAAAAAAGGCTCTCCTTTATGCTGCCTTGGTTTAAAGAAAATGCTTTAAACATCCCGATTCTTCACACACTTCCATACTTTTCTTCTTTAGTTGTGTTTGTAGTTGAAAATGTGAAAAGAAGCTTGAGCAGTTGCAGCAAAAATGAGCTGCTGTACTTGTCTTTATTGGTGCAATGCTAAAAAAGCCTAGAAGTTTGCTGTTCCTTTGGCAACCCTATAGTAGTTGGAGTCTGCAAGATGTGCACGCTTCAATGTCGGAGTAAAATGCATCCCAAATATTCCCACTATGCCTTTGACTGTTTTATTTTCAGAGGTTTTATTATTTATGTCCCAACAACGCAAGTAGGGCAAAATTTTGTCTCCGATTGTTTACAGGCCTGTGTTTTTCCTGCTGTACCTCCACATTGTTCCCTTTAAAAGCATTCAGATGTTAAACAGAGCGTCATATAGACTTTAAGGAGCTGCTTTTATATGTCAACAACTCTTTTTAGGCTTATTGTTTTAAAAACCAGCTTAAAAATAAATTCTTCGGAGGTTTCAAATGAAAAAATATGATCGAAGAAACTGGAATTTTTGAAGGTTGCATTAATCTTAAAGCTACACTGCTTAACTTTGCACCCAAATATTAGCTTAATTCGAGTTCAATGCTCTGTGAGGGCTGTCCTTCTCCACAAATTGCTTTTCTAAGTTGAAAAAATGGAATCACTGAATGAGTTGTGACCCAGAGCTCCCCTCAAGCATTGGAGCTAACTAAGCTGAAAGCTGTTGTTAGACAAAAAACCAGGTAGTACACTTACCTGTTGAGACATGGTGTTGGTTATCTGATATTTGATTTATTTTAGAGGGTTTAAAGTGGCCTTGTATTTAAAAGTAACTCTATTCATTCTTAATATATTTGTCCAACATGGTCTGCTATCAGGTTGGAAAATTGCGTTTCATTCACTCAAGTTCATTCAGGTCACTACCCGATCCATACCAGAAGCACAATCCATATCATTGGATCATTTGTGTATGCGCAACCTGATATACATCTGGGTTGCCCTCGATTTTACTTTGTAAAATAGACCTAAATTACATTTTTACCTCCCTAAAAATAGAAAGTGTACTAAACTACAATGTGTTAGAGAGCTTGGACCCAAATGCAGATTAACCAGTCCAGAGAGACAAGGGAAAAAGTTTAACAGGTTTATTGAGAAGTTTTGTGGAGGTTGCTCTTAACACTGCTCAACCGGAACTGAAAGGTGAGGGGAAGACACTGCGGTTAGTTCAGGTTCAGTGGGAGAATTGATTCTCGAACTTGTAGAGGAGAAAAGGTTGGCATACTCACGTTTCCAGAGATTAGGTTTACTCTTAGACTCCAGCAGGTGAGGAATGTGTTCCAGTGTTTGTCTCATACGGAGGAGGGCGGACAGGGTTACCCAGAATACAGTTGCTTGTAGATGAACGGAGAAAGACTGACTGGCACTCAGATTTCCTGCGGTACGTGAACGGACTGTTGTGCAGATGAATCCCTTGCTCAGTATGAAGCTCAAGCATTTCTTTGGGGAAAAGTGGATCCAAACCTCCAGTTTGTATCCTCAGCTCAGTTTGAAGCTTAGTTGATCCTTCCAGGGAGAGAAGGTCCGAAAAATCCAGTTTGCAGGATGACTTCCTGCCGAGAGGCAAAGACAAAAAAAACAATGTTAAGACTCAGGTTGACAAAAACTCAGTTTGACTCAGCAAAACTCAGCTTGGCTAGAGTACCCAAAACTGGCAAACACTCTGGCGTCGAGGTAGTAGCAGAGAGCAACTTAAGAACACTCCGTTAACAAGGTAACCCCCTGTGTGAGGAGGAGAATCAGAACCAAGTGCCGCCTGGTGGAAGAAGGAAGACAAACACACAGAAACACAGACCACACAGACTGGAGTCCTACCAAAAAAATTATTTCCTGAGAAAATAAATGCATCAAAATCCTTTTTTTTTGTTATCTGTGTTCGATCTGTACTGGAAATGGGATCTTATGCTACTTCTGGGAGCTAACTTTTTCAGCTTTTAAACATAAATCTAGTCTTTTTGAGTAACAACTAAAATGCAGATTTTTGCGGGACTACTCTAGGCGTGTCTGATGACGACATCAGACAAGCAGCTTAACAAAGAAAATGGAAAAAGCATCAAATTGTCTCAGAAAAGTCATAAAACATTTTTTAAGATGTGTATTAGCATTCTTTATTGAGTTAAGGATAAAAACAGGTACTTTTAGCAGCATAATTACATTATTTATAGAAACCCGAATGCATATCTGGTTGCGCATATGAAAAGTAGCTGATGGTACGGATCATGCCTCTGGGTGACGTGCCGACAGTGAATCCCTGTCAGTTGCTTTCAGCTGCTAAACCTAGAAGTTAAATGTCTAGTGCCCCTATTGGCTAAAAGTAATTGCTACAAAGATGGTGTGTCTAAGTTTAAAGGCTTCTAAGGGAATTTAGAAAGGTCCTTAAAGGGTTTTAGATGGAAAGATCTGAAGATTTTGATGTAAATCAATGGTTTTATTCATTTTAGAAGAGACAAATGGGCTCTAAAGGAAAATACAGTAGATGTTGTTCTAGAAGCAGCTTGTTTGTCGCAGCAGAAATGAACCAATTGTATCTGTTTTTTTTGGGATCCTTTATAGATGTTTACACTAATATTCTCCAAGGCAAAAACAAGCATATTTGAATTTTCGCTTTGAGTTAATTAGTTATATTGCCCTACAGTAGATCCCCGCAGTTGTCGTCTCATATCTTGTTTGTTTTTCCTTCCAGGAAGTCCTGTCAATCTGACATGCAGTGCATTCTTTGGATACACTGGGGACACCACTCCACATATCTACTGGATGAAGGGGGATAAGTATATCGAAGACCTGGATGAGGAACGGATTCAAGAAAGTGACATCAAGTAAGCATTTAAAAACTAAATGGCTTTTTTAAAATAATTGATGAATCATTGGTATATTTTGTCTTTATTTTTTAAAGACTTCCAAAATATAAATGCATTAGGATGTTAAATACCCATTTCTCAGCGTTGGATCATAAAGCGCCGCTCTGACCAGTGTCTGTGCTGACATCTAAATGATGGCCATGAATGCTTCATGTGGTCGTTTAATAATGCAACAGCCATGCATTCTTTATCACATGCAACACTGCAAATACATATATGTATGCACAGTTAAGGTGTTGCTCCCATTGGTTTTGGCAGTAATGGGAGAGCAGCTCAACCCCTTTTCATTTAGGTGACCTCCATTATTTTTTGCTTATATTACTCATTAGAAATTCATTTCCCTCCTTCTTTAAAAGTCACACACTGGATTAGAAACATTTAAGTTAAATCTGCTGGGATCTTCTGGCCATTAGCTGCATTAGACTGTCTTTTAGATGGGCCACAACTCTGAGCCTAATGAGGAGGCGAAAAACAAAATCAATTCATTCAGCACATTCAGTGCAGCATTTATTCATATAATAATATTAGCAGTAGGTTTAATTATTTCAACTCCCTAGTAGAGAAAATCAAAGAACAGGGATTTATCATGGTATGATTACATAGTGACATATTTTAGGTGTTCATTTCTTTTGAATTTGACATATTTTAATAAATGGTTTAGACGGATCAATCGAAGAGATAAAGCCATATCCGTTAATTTTCATAGGTGCACTCATTTGTACAAAAACACAAACATATCGACAGGTAACTCCGGGTTAAGCGCCATGCTTAAGTGTAACTTCCCATCATCATGCTGGAATGCAGCACTCTGTGAACTGCCAGCTCCTTTAGTAATGTCAAGGCTGCTGTGTTCACCATTATTTTGCATGACAAAACATTTCTGCGGAGTTTCAGATTCTCATAAGCCATATGAAACTGTTAACTGAAATAAATTTTAGAATTTCACATTTTCAGTTCTTTTGAACTGTGCAGCTGGAGTTCCTTCACTTAGAAAATCAGCATTTCTCAGCAGGTTGAAGACACGAGAAAGAACAAGAGAGCTGTTTAACTCGGCTGAGGAATGTGTGGTTTTACATCCTCTACATGTGTTCTATTTTTATTAGCATACTGTCTCACCCAAGGCTAAATGCCACATATAAAATATGGTTAAAACAACTGATAGAACTCTGTTAACAAAATGATAACAGTTGTTATTTTCCAGTGTTTACAAGTACAGCACAACTAAATTCACTATCTGCATTTAACCCATTCCCCTTGGGAAGCAGTGGGCTGCCATTGTGCTGTGCCCGCAGAGCAGTGCAGTGTGGGAGCCAGAATGGCAGTCTGTGGGAGTGGGTTTCGAACTCACAACCTCTGGACTCCAAGCCCTATGCCTTAACCAATATGCGGCGCCTGGGGAACAGAGCACAAGCACACTGCTCAGACCACTCGGCCAACAGTCCCACCCTCTCCTGACCTCAGCAGAATTTCTTACATCACAAATGATATCTGGCTCTACACTTTAATTGCTGGGGCTCCAAAGTATCAGTAATCTGTAAAGATTACTTTTAGAAACGCTGTTCTACTTTACGTACTCTCATACCTGTACTGTTTTATCACATTTCACCTTCATTAAGCTCTTTATGGGGCTCCCATCCAGCAGCAACACACTCCAGGAGACAGGCTGTGTTCGTAGGTGCTTCCAAATTGCAGTCTGATGCATTAAGTAATTTTCATTCAACCAAGAGCTTTTGATCCCTCAATTCTGAAAAGAAACAAGAAAGGGATTTTTTTTTTTTTAAAGTAGATTTTGCAAGGTCAGTGCCAATACCAATTATTTGACATCAGTCAATCGGTTAGATGCGGCTGACTGGTGTTGCAAATGTTTTAGGGGTTGACAATTATTGAAGTCCGTATTGCTTTTTTCTTCCTACATTTATATGTTTGAAATGATTTTAAAAAGTTATATGCTGAATGCATTAATGATTTAGTGAACAAATGCATGTACCGATACAAGAGAAGAAAATATTAACTTGCAGATGTATCATTCGATCTTGAGTGGCGATTCACTATTGGTTTATGGAAAGAAAGACGAGAGTTTACTAATACTAATAAAGGTCTCCGATATTCCTATGATGCTAAGTTTGGCTGAGAAGCAGCTGCCAAGAAAGGAATTTTATTATTTTTTATTATTTTGCCTTCAAAATAAGAGCCTTCAACTCATCTAAATAAGTCAATGATTCGATGCAATCAGCTGGTTTTACTTCATCAGAAAACCTTTCTACCATATGTTGGATCTGATTCAACTGCCTTTGTAAGGTGCCTTGAGATGACATATCCTGAACTAGCGTGTATAAATAAATTGATTTAAATTTAATCAAAATCGCTTGCAATCATACTAATAGTAAACCCTTACAATTACTTAACCAGTCAAAGTCACACGCTGACAGCAGCAGAACAGTGGTTTATATGGACGTTACTTTGACTGGAAGTATTGTAGCCTTCTCTAGATTACATGCCACGAGATCTCCTCACAGACTGTGAGGCTCAGAACAATAGGATCCAGTCTTCAAGGGAGACAAACAGTTAGATTTCTAGAAACGTTATTGGACATGGAACTCTGAGGTTGGTCCAAGCCGGTCGGCTACCAACAAGACACAGTGGGCACCGCCCAGAGAGTCCCAGACACTGCAGTATCGGAGGTTGGAGAACAGGCAGGACATTGGAACCGAGCAGACAAAGTTAGACAGGATAATCCAGAGGGGGAAGTCAAAACCGGCATCAAAAACATGCTCGGTAGTCAGAGCCAGGAGATCAGAGCTTTGAAGAGGTGCCGAAGGGAAATCAAGGACAGAGTCGGGCAACAGTTCCAGGTTCGGTTAACAGACAGTCAGAAATCTGGCAGGAGTGCAAAGTCAGGTCAGGCAAACGGATCAGAACGGGGACAGGCAGACTCAGAGGTCCAAAGGCAAAATCGGTCAGGATCAGGCAATCAGAAATACAGGAACACTGAAAAACTTCTCACCACAGACTTGAATAATCAGGCCCTGATGGCTGGTTTTAAGGCTGGCTAAATTGATACTGAGAACTGGGCGGAAATAAGCAGGTGAGTGAAATGAGTAATCAGACCAGACATAAGTGCCAAGATCATGCCACAGCCTTTCTCAAAAGATGATAAATCAGAGTAAATAAAGTCTTGACTTTTTAACTAGATTTCAAAGAATCAGTGGAACCATCTTTGTAAGCTTTGAAGCAGTCCGCCTTTTACGATTGCTGGTTATTTCTCACCGATACTTCAATGTTATCAACTCAAGGTCCTGCAGGTCACAAGGCCTTATTACCATCACAGATATCAAATGTGACCCCGGGCTGGTAATTTAAAAATGTTAAGGCTTCCATTCAGATGTGGCATTTCGGTAAGTTTAAGGTTACTTTAAACCTAAATCTGCTTGGCTTTAGATTTATTTTGGGCTCAACTATACTTGGAAAGAAATATCTCTGCATCTCTACAGAGATTAATTAGAGGAAAAAACATGTATTTATGTACAAGACAAAAAAAGACAGAATTAATCAGTCCTCTGATCTTTTAAGAAGAAGCTTTTGTTCTTGTGAAGATTCTCGTCGCGTTTTATCAGTGTAATAAAGCCGTCATGCACCCTTTCATGTCCTGTCCCCACCGTACCCCACCGACCCGTACATATGACTGCAAAATCTCTGTTGTCGACAAATGCCATCTAATGAAAAGGTTAACTGTAAGCAGCATGACAAGGCTGGGAGGAGAGTTAGCAGCCCAGTCTGTGACCTGGCATTTCAAGATGTCTCTATCAGCCTGCTAGCTCGCTCGGCCCAGCTCTTAGTGCCGCTCTCCGTTGAGAAGGACGCCAGGCCAATTAGAGCCTACAGGATATAAGGGGGTGGCGGTGTTGGTGGGGTTGGCAGGTGGCAGAATTGGGTAGGTGGTTTGATAATGATGAGAAATACTGAGGAGAGAACCAGATGCAGTTAGGAATCTGCTTTCAGAAGACAGTCAAAGCAAGTAACAAGGGAAGAAATAAATATCTGACCCTGAGCTTCTGTGAAAGAGGATGTTAAGGTGAAGTGAGCAGGCTTGCATAGGTAAAATAGAGTGTTTGAAATGCTTACCTCAGTTCTGCCGCTGCACGATCCTGTCATGCAGTTGGTGGTATTATTTATTTTATTCTTGTGCTCCCATTTGAGCATGCACCACTTCAGACTCTTTCCTCTGACATCACTCCATGAGCATTTAGCTTTGAAATGGAAATGAATAACACGGGAGTACTCCCTTAAGGGCTGCCTGTAATACACAAAATGGAGCTTTTGGCAAAACATCTCACCTCCGAGATCCGAGGTTGATACAAACTCTTGCGGCTGTAAAGGAAGATTTTATGGATCTTTGAAGTGAAGTCTGAGCCTTAAACAATTAGGAATAAAGTTTCTAAGTCGGTGGATGGGCATCAGTTGGGCTTTTTGTAGCTCAAGAAATATGGCAGCAATCTGATGACTATGAAGCATGGCCAGCCGCCTTAGTCATCATGGAGGCAAAAATATTTAAAGAATGTTTAAAAAGCAGAATTGTTCCATCTCTTCTCCCAAAGTGAAGTGCTAGAAAGACCTTTAAAAAATGCACTCATAAGGACATTAATTCATCTGGGGCTTTTAGAGATGCATTTGAATTCTTAAAGGATCAAGATTACCAGTAAAGGCTTTGGTTATTGGTAGGGATGGGGATCGAAACCCGGTTCTATCAAGGACCCGGTTCCACTTTTTTCAAAACCCGAAAATCAATAACGTTTGGGCTTATCGATACCGCTATCGAGTCTGGTCGTTTTTTTTTTTTCTCCCGGAGGTCCTGTAACATAATTGTGTGTGTCTCGAGTCGCGTCACAGCATTTAAATCTAATCAATCCGATCACTGCAGCATGTCCACCAATGTTTTGGAATGAAATTGTAAGCAAACA